AACTATATGCAATGTCTGTCTTTGAAATGGCAAAGCTTTATCGGTCTAAGGCCTAATTATTTTTTTCATTAACTATGGTGTACGTCACTTAACTTAAATTTCCATGTTCAAGTGTACATTACTAAAATGCTTTCTGTACCAAGCACTTACTGCTTGCAAGGTTATTTTGCATTTTCAAAATTATAATAAAACCTGCCAGCTGACAGCTGTATGTACAGGTTCGATGTAAAAAATTATAAGATTAGGAAAGTAACTCTAATACTACTTCTTAATATGTATCGGAATGTCAACAACGTACTGTGTCTATTAGCTACAAATGATCTTGTGACAACAAACCACATGTTCAAAATGAAATTCTTCATTCATCCTACATCACAATAAAACAAGAATGTTTTGTTTCATGAAGTAATGAAATTTTCCTTTCTAACAATCACTTATTGAAGACTTTGGTTCCTGTAAATAAAGAAAAACAAAGTGTGTTTCCCAACAGATTGCTTTTCTTTGTTGTTATATAATGGATCACAGAGTCAGTCTTATATATGTGGATCCATATATACAATTTAATGAATGAATTTCTACACCAAATATATTTAGAGAAAAAGTCAATATTGGAATAATTTGACAGCTGGTTGCAAAATGAAGTTTTCAATGTATTAGATAGTACATGGATCTCAGCAGTACACACCCTCTATCATCAACATAAAACCCAAAATCTCTATAATAAAAATCCTTACAGGTTATTTCTGTCATCAACACTGCCACTGCAATAAATTTAATTCCAACTTGAGTGTATAATTTGTATTGTAGCAATATTTAACCTAAATCTGTGTTGAATTGCTTGATTTGCTTTTTCAGAAATACAATAGTTATTTAATGCGAAAAATAATATAAGCAGTTGGCAATTATAAATACATACAAGGAACTTTATTTCATTATTTGAGGTAAGAATGAAAGTGCTCTTATCAATGATCTACAATGGTAGTAACATTGAGAATGGACAGGTGTCTAGAGGTAGAATTTGGGCACTACGATAGCTAACCTGTAGAGAAGGTATGTCCCGTACAATGATGGGAAGATATCTTATTGGGCTAGAGATAGAAAATGTAAAGACTGGAAGAGTTATATGGATGCTAAACAACAAAACCAAGCAACTGGTACAAGAATACACTTGAATAAAATACACAATATACATTTTCATTTCCTTTGTCATTACTTTCAGTGTAATTTTTTACAGCAGTATTCCAGACAGGACACGACATGTCACATATTTCCAGAATCATTTTGCTCTAAAATTTTAGTAAACAAATATGAAATAATAGCAGAAATTACAAGGGCTGCACAGCTGAGCCTCCATCTTACAATGTTTCCATCCAGGAAATGTAAATCTTCAGTATCAACTGGATACAACTGAGGTAATGAACATCTAAAAAGGGGAAGTAACTCTAAGCAGGCAAAGAATTCTTTTATGTTGCAATATCAAGGTAAAAAAAATTGGCATAATGCTTTCAATAAACAGCAATATCAACAAATATAAAACAGTGGAATTAACTCAGGACTAGGATTCAATTTACTGATCAGACAGCTTCCAATTGAGCATAACAAGTGTAAATAACAAACAAAACAAACTTATTGTAGTATAACGCTTAAACGATTTTCAAAATCAGTGCTTGATGATGGAATATCAGAGCCAAGCTTTTCGATAGTTTTCTTTAAGAAGTTAGCTCTCTGACAGCCTCCATTGTTTTACCTCACACTAGAGTGCTGCCTAGACAAGGCATCTATTAGGAAACTACATTGACAAGTTTTGAATAAATTTGTCATAAATTGTGTCCCCAAGAAGTCCTTACATGTCCAGTGTGAAAGAAAGGCCACAGGGCCCATCTAAGTTCTACAAAATCCTTAAAGCAAGGTACATCAAGTGCAGGTGAATTATCTGTTGACCAGGTGCAAACCACAAATATGCATGGCAGTTTTAATCCAGTGGACAAGTTTTTCGCTTGGCTAGACACACCTGTGTTTTATACTGAAACAAATATCAGGTATCAGGAGCAGATCTACATACTACCTAGAACAACACTTTTGATTTTAACTATGATTTCAGACTTGTGACTTATTTACAAATAGATAATATAAGTCCACAGATTCAAGTTGGACAAAAGTTATCAAGTCCTATCATTTAGTCAGTAACATTATAATTCACACATTTAATTATCTTATTGTTATTTTTTTCAAAGTGAGTGACAATTTCACATTTGCATTTTAATTGAGATCAAACAATGAATCCGATGCCTAACAATAATTAAAATTCTATTATGATCTTTATACTGTACATAAACCATATTCCTCTCCATATTTATTCCTCGTCTGTCTGTCTCTGCGATCTCAGTCATCCTAATGAGACAGCAGAGAAATTTCATGTCTGCCAGGAAACACAACACGACAACATAAGCAATACTCGCATAACTATTCGTTTATCCCAATTAATTTCATTCCTGTTTTTTAAAGATCAGATTTTTTCCTTATTCTCATATACGCTGTCAATTCGTATGATGAAAAACTTGCTGGTGTTAACATAAGTCTGACTCTGATTTACCGCTTACTTTCACAGACAAGATAGCAGTGATACCTATCGTCTTATTAATTAGCTACCACAAGAAGAGTTTTTGAATTTCAGGCATTTATAAATGTCAGCATTTGTGATAAAATGCCTCTGCCTTTCTTGTATGAAGATTGAAGGAAGTTTACTGCTACAGCTATGTTACAGGAGTACAGATATCACACACACACATATTTGGCTAAGTGTCTGGCATCCTTTCCTCAACGACTTCAATTCTCAACATACGACCACAGATTTATAGCATTTTTTTCTATGGTCAGAATCTTATTCAAGGTCATGAAGGTCAGAAGACATTCCAAAACGATTAGTTTAATAATCACTGTTATAGTATATCCATGATCTGATATAGGCATTGAACAGGGCTCAGGCCTCTTTATAAATTGAAATGGGAAAATATTTTGATATAGAATATACATTTAAATAGGAAAATACCTTATTAAGAAACATCAGTTAAATGTGTACTTTAAATCCTGATTTATTATAGGAAAATTTTGTAATTCTTTGACATTTATAAATGAAAGAAGCACCAGTACATTAATACTCTAGACTATCAGTTTTCAGTAAGTAGCGGTTATATATCTCCTGTTTACTTCTAATTTGATGTGTACCAACATACAGACTCTATTTCTCTGTGCCAGCTTTCTGACACAACCAACAATTATCCATAATTTCTCACACCAGGATACCTAATTTCATAATTGGAAAGAGACGAAAACAAATCCAGAATTCCAAAAGACATATGTACAAGACTTCATATTTTGGATGTTTTTCGCCTACTACCTCTTGTAATGTCTGTAGAAGTGTTGGATTGTGCCAGGTTTTTTTTTGTAGTTTTTTCATTTTTCTCGCTATGCTTAGTGTCAGTGATTTGCGAGTTGGTTATTTGCAGCAGAAAAAATAGGCATCAAAAATGGTTAAGATGTGAACAACTTTCTGATAATGTTACAAATGACGTTATACATTTAAGAATTATTTTCTTCTCTGTGTAGCCTGCCTATGGCATTTTAATTAAATTACAAGAATATATACGTGTCAGTTAAAATGTTAAATCCACTACCCTGATTTTCTTTAGTAAAACAACAAGAAAGGTTATCATTAAATAAGGGATGAGTAGGGGTTGGGGGTCTTATCTATCAGTAGACAGGAGAATTAATAGTGTAATGGTGAGGTCTGTTGCCTTTAAGACACTGTCAGTCTGTCCAGGTCTAATGCTAGGACTAGCCATACATCCAGTGGTACTGATTTCTCCCACACTCATCCACAATGACAGTACCTGACATTCTAAGTATACACAGATCCAAATTTTATTTCCCTGGATTGGAAAACAGATTTCTTTTTCGTGTAGAGGATTTTTTGCCTTACACCTTAAGTCTCTCAAATCAAGATCATTCAATGAAAATGTCACCTCAACCATCCGCATTAAATCATCTTGATTCTTGAAACTAACATTTAATATCTTTGTTGTCAAGGTCAGTGATTGTTGAAAGCTGCCAGCGTCTGTTTCACTAAATTGCAATATCTACAATAACTATAAACCCTCAATTAGATTATGTTATTACAGATGACATGACCGGTCACCATTATCTGAAGGCAGAAAGAAACCTGATTCCCTCCTGCCACAACTGTTACCCAGCTTCCTACTGCAACTGTGGAGACATAAATAGCCACGTTTAGGAGCTTTATGTAGTATTTACTACAGAGTAGGTCTATGATCCTGAAGCAACCCAAACCACCTTATCTACCACAACTAAGATGAATAGCAGGAATTGTTATATAATCTGACAGTCATATAGTATTGGAGATAATTTTCAGAAAGTTTTGAAGAGGAACAAGAAAGCAGTGGAAATGGTGAGGTGTCAGCTATTAACACTGGCTATGGTTTGTTTCATTTTGATTGATTCTAAGTCTGTACTAGACAGGTGCTGTCATTTTTTCCTGATGATCTGTCAATAAAATGTGTCTGAATACTCTAAATACTCCAGAGGGAATCAGTAGCTGTGTTTTATCAGGTCTGGACCTTCTGACAGTCAACTTGACACAATATGTTTTGTGCATGCTAAGGCTGTGCATTTTAACACCAGCAAATCTGCTTGCGGAAGAGGAAAGCAATTTCAATAAACCATATATCTTTTGTTTCTATGTTGGAGGAGGCAATCTTTTAAACCTAAGGACAGATAACTCTTTAAATTACCAAAGAAAATACCAGATTCTAACTATCAGCAAAAGCAAAGGACGGAAATTATTATGAAAAATGTGTCTCAGAAGGTTTGATTACATTTGTTAATAGGAGTCCCCCTTCTAAATATCTGGAATAAAAAAGATGACAGTCACATGTAATGTGGAAAACAAGACAATAAAGGGAGATAACTAGGAATATCCTTACCTCAAGATGACACATCCTGAACCAGCTGGTGGGGCCTGCCACTTGACAGTAATTAGCTTCTTCATCATTAAGTATCTGTGTGTAATCACTGTGCGATTACAGTCTGGAGCCTTCTGGACACGCCCATCTCGAGGAAACTGAAAAAAAACAATGATACATGTTATTATTTTGTCTTGTTTATGAAATCAGATTCATGAAATATGAATAAAATTAGTCATAGATTACAAAGGATAATTCAAATATTTTTCTTACAAGCTACAGATCATTTAGTTGCTTAATAACTACATTTCTGTGTAATGTACAGCAAAAGACCTGTCATTAATACAATGATCAATTAGGACTCGGACACTCTTACATAAACTTTTTGGCTGATATCAGAAATTCCTTCAAATGAAAGAAATAATTTACAAGTACATTGCAGACTTGGGGTAATTAATTGCTTTGGGTCCATGTGAAAGTATATAATTATGATGCACATCTTATCATGCATACATGTAGTTATTGTTGATAATTATTCTCAGTTCCATCAACAATATGGCTGCTACTCTCAAGTTATCTGTTAGATATAAAAAATCCTTTACCTGAGGATGAGATTTTACTAGTAAATTTGCAAACATTTGCATATAGTTTTATTGTGCTTCCTATTAAAAAGGGCAGATTTAAAAATCTTGAATGTGAGAGACATATAACTAAGCATCAATCACGTCATCCATTTATTGCCCTGAAGCTGTACTAAGATAATGAGTCAAAGTTGTGATGCTTACTTTATATACCAGATCCTTAACTCAAGTTTTTTGAAAAAAATCTATATATCAACCTTGAAAAATATGTATTAAAAAACTGTATGAAAGTTGTAAGTGCTTTTCTGAACATATTGACTAAAAGACGACTAGAATGTGTATGACCTTGGATGATTTTAAATGATATATCCGATAAGTGTACCATCTTGCTTTTTTAAGAGTACTGGAGAGTAGCATAAAATGAAATTCTTCAGAAAATTAAGGTTAATAAAAACAGTTGAGTGCATTTAACATTTTCTAAATTTATATCCTTTTTTTATATCATGCTTTATGGTGTAAAATAAAACTTATCTGTAATGACTAAATTTTACTATTTAATTTGATGTACCATAATTTGACAGAGGTGTGAAAGAGGCTTTTCCATCATAACTGATAAAGCACTTGAGATTTAGGAAATGGTGAGGGGCTGTACCGTCACACATAAATCATACTGCTATCACATATCAAATATGAGTGATAAGCAACTTGAATTACTTCAGCTGTCAAACTCAAACCTCTTGGAAGAGACATAATCGTTATCTGATTCAAACATGGCAAAAGTTAACAGCCTGCTCCTCAAGCTTCTGCTTCATATTTATATATAAGTTCCCAAATTTCTAAAACATTTTTGAATTTGATAGATGTGCTTGCGCAATCTTCTCCGAGTCCTCAATTTGAATTTATCAACATTTTATTGTACTTGTGTATAATCTTATAAACATTGGTAATTTTAACTCTAGACAAATATGTCATAAATCTAAACAATGTGTTTTGAGCCATGTTTGATTATGTTTGACTTGCACAACATGTACTCTGTGAAAAATAGTAAAAAAATTACCATTTCCTAAAACATACATGTAATCAAGGAAATAGCAAACTTAACACAAAAATGAATACTGAGTAGACTTTAGCAATATTAACATCAAGTCAAGCTGACCATCAATTAACACAGAACTATAGAAGTCTCCTCTTACTGGTCAACATTTGTGAGGGGCACTTTGTTGACTCTCAGGCAAGTAATGGGGCATGTAAGCTATAACCAATGAGGCATGAAATAACCAAGGATATGATGGAGCCAGCCCATCATCATTGATCTGCCCTTACCCAGCAGGAGGCACCATCAGTTTAAACAGACAGTGATGAGATAGTTGTAGGTGTGGTAATTTGGAGAAGTTTTGATAAAAATATGATGAAAAATTATGCTTTTTGTGTCCTGTTTTGAAAATTTGAAAACCATTTTTCATTTAATCTTGATGAAATTTTTTCTACATTTACCAATGAAGTCATTCTAAATGTATTTTATACTACCTTTGTACATACAGATGTGTAAAATATCAGGAAAGAAAGCTTTTATCATTTTTCTACCAAATACAGTTTGATTTGTTATCAGCCGCCTGGGTGGTACTTACACACTCAAGCATATAAATCTAAAACTAACTTTAGGCGTCTGATGGATGTAAAGAATTCTACTCAAGTCTCAAATTCCCCCTCAACAGATGTATTAATAAATGAGTATATGGAAGAATGAAAGTTAAATGTCAAGTTAATCATCTTTATTGGACTTTTATGTACAAATTAGTCTGATCTAAGAACATTAAAGGGTAACATAGTAGCCATGAAAAGCCTTTTAAAGAATCCTGAAAAAAAATCATACGTCATGGGGAAAGGTTTTCCATTTAATTCACCTCTTAAAATACAGCATTATTTTGGCATTATTGCCTGAATATTTGTTGTGATTACATATAGCCAATGTATAATGTATGCATTCCCTTGAAGACTTTCTAACAAAAGCATACAAGATGTACACCAGTTAAAAAGTCATATTTCAGCAGCAGGCTGATAATACTATATGATAAATGTGAAAAAAAAATTCCCATACATCATTGCATTTTAGCAGTTGTCTATATATTATGATTGGTTTACTTTGTTCAGGTTTCATATAAAACAACTTCACAAACAAGTCTGAGAAACTATGTAGAAGACATGCAGTGTCTTTTTTAACATCAATCAAAGTAACTGTCAAATTTCTTTAATACAGATTTCTATCACCTTACATAGCGTGGCTTTTCCACAGCTTCACATATCTGTCTACTAGTCCCATTTCTGGACACAGTTCCAGTGTCTAGTTGCGACTATACAGGTTTATGTTTTACATGAAAGCAATAGGTACCCAACTCACCGAAAATGTTCCAAGATTGATGCTGTCATTTCTCTCTGATACCGACTCCATCATGAATCCGAGAAAAACTGTATATCCTGGTCTTGTTCCATTTATTGTAACTAGAAAAATAGACATTATCTTTAATAGGTGTGAAAATGCATTAATCACCTGAAAATCAACAAAACTACTAGTTATTACAGTGAATAATTTGTAATGTATATTAGGGCTAGCATGAAAAAGATAGTACTTGCACAACTTCATTTGCATACACACATGCAATTGTATATTCTCCATCGTATATCAAAAGAACACGATACAGTTAAAACGTAAGAAAATCTATTCAGTCTGCAACATAAATATCTAAACAATAACGAAACTTTACAAGTTTATCTGGTATACCAAACATTAAAGTTTAATCTAGTAATATGTAGAGCCATCAATTAGAATCAGATATATACACCCAATATATACCATCATGCTGTAATTTTATCATAAAATGATAAAGTGGTGTTTATTTCTATCCTTATAATTATCTCAAGTATCCTTGAGTCTAGACTTCTTGATATTGTTACTTAACAGAATATCTTGAAAATTGCATTTGTGAATTCTTCCAAAGAGACACATAAGCCCCAGAAATAATCAGCTGGTTTACTATTAACAGTGATATGTGTATCTTAATGTTTGTCTCATTTTCTGCAGTGTAACGGTTCAATCATGAGTCGAGACTATCAGTGCTGTTCAATGACACATAATATTACACAATCTTTATGGTAATTCTTAGTTTTTTTTTTATAGTACATCTTTAAATCTACTACACAAGTATGTATCACCGAGAAGTATGCATATGTACTTGCAGAGAAACAAAGTAGTACAGAATTTAGAAACTGTACAGTTTTGACAAATAGTTTCAACATATTTCTGTCGGATTTACTTCAGTGAATCAAGACTAAAACATATCTTTTATAATTTCCTTAACTGAATTAACAACTTTTGTTCACACAGTAGCATCAAGTTCCGTATTTTAAAGGATATCAATAACAACTGACCTTTGTATTTAGAAATCATTGAGAGTTACTTCAATACTCAAAAACTACCTGTATAAAATCAAATGGGTCAAGACAATGATATGTGCATTCCATTAAAAACTGAAGTCAGAAAGCTCAAAATGTTTACCTTCTAAATTGAAGTTAAATCTTTGTGTAGGAGTAATCCGATTTCTTTTCATATTTGTCAGAAATTAGTTTGACCAGAGTGGGCAAAGTTGGTTTTTCATTTGTTTTATTTTGCTAAACTGAATATAAAATGGAGGCGTTTATATTGATTTAAGAGATTAATGATAATCCTTAGAGTAAATACGTTGTATATTAGCTCTTACTTGCACTTATATAGTATTACTAAATAATTGTCTGTATATTAAGTTAATAATACACTGATCCATAACATATTTGAAAGAGTTTTAAGATTAATCACTTCCACATTTCTTTTGGCTATAACAATTTATACAAAAGATTTGTACAATATTAAAGATATAACCAGAATTTCTGTTGACTGCAGTCAATCTATTTATCATATATTAACCATAAATTAATGACACACAATTTTCTTTCCATTTGTTCTCTCATATAATTGAAAACAAATTTTCTTCAATAGATGATTTTTGTACATTTAATATGAGTTAATGTACATGTATCAAACATCTGTCCTGATGTTAACTATCTACTGCAGATGGAAATCTTCAGATGGTCATAGTTAGTACAATATATAGAACATATCTAATGGTTTCTTATTTGCACAAGTGAAAAAAATATAGATATATTCTGTCCTACGAGTGAAGTATATGTACACTATAAAATTTTCTTGTTATTACATTTTTAAAAAAGAAAAAAAGGGAAAAATTCTTATCCAAACAAAATACAGTGTTGCTCAAAGAAGTTCTCATTACTGTATTATTTGGCAGCAGATAGTGTGGTGTTACGCTATACAAAACAACGTCATCTTGACTAGGCTACTCTTTGTTGTTTTCTACCGTTTTATTCTGTTACCTGTTCAGAATCGCCTACACATCTGTTTTTATATACACCAAACTGGAGAAAAGCAGAATTAAACATGGAATTATTTGATAGAAAATCACTTCATTCAACCTTCACTGGTAATGATATGATATTTCTTAATAATTGCTGAAGTGGTGAATTCTTTTATTAGCGGTCTCCTACGCTAAGAACTGTAGGAGTGTCAGAAATCCTGCTTGGTTTGGTTTCGGACAGAGAATGTGTGTCCTTCCTTAATTTCACGTAAACGAGAGCCTCACCATTCGGGTCGTCAGCAGAAGACACGTGCCAATATTAAACTTAAAACTACTGAAGCAGTAAGTGATGACTAGACGAGGCGGGAATACAGGTGCGACATTCCTCGCGGTGTCATGGACTCGAGTCTTGCGTCTCAAACCATCACCTGTAAATACGATCCTTATCCCGTTAAGCATGTTCTAAGGTCAGTGACTAACAGCTTAGTTGGTTCTTTGACTTGTTTTCGGTCTCCGCGACTCCTCCCGTCTCTGGGTATCGTCTCACCGACGAACGTCAGTGTTCTGGCGACGTCAACGTCACTAGGATCTCTTAAAAACCTTCCATCTTACACTATTTATTTCTTTAACTCCAACAACAAAAGAGTTCCGATTCTTTATTTGAACTGTCACATGAAGCGGAAACAAATCTAAGATACTTTTTATCACACAACCCAGAAAAGTAACATTTTGAAAAGTTGAAGCAGCAATTTTGTTGTGCCCTTTTCAATTTCTGACGTAACGTCATTCACTGTCTATATTATCACAAAAGATGTCTGACTGGCGTAGCCAACGGTAAACGCTTCATGATATATTGCACTACTGTCATTGATACGCAAAAATATCACCGAATTGCCGAATTCATTGGATAACAGACAGCTTATTATCGATGTAGATGTTTTTGTCCTACTTCAACGAATAAGAAAACTTGAGATACAAAAAAGATAGACGCGTGTCTCCGGAAAGTCACTGGAATCGGCGGATGTCACTCTAAACGGGAACAATACTTATCATGCCAAACAAATACCACACACAAGAAGTATTATAGCTATATTTCATATCTAAAGCGTCCGCCTCTTGTGCATAAATGTACACTAAAGGGACGGCCATCTTTAATAAGATTCTTCGTTATATGACCTTGATGCGCCGCCATACGTGTTTTGAGTGAAATATGTTTATGCTATTGCCAAAAATTTTCTGATGCCACTGTAATATGCATCCTACAGGTTCAGGGAAAGTTTCATATAAAAAATGTAATTGATCAAATTTTTGTCACGCGCACAAGCACTTTCCACTCACGTACGCCGTATGTGAAAACCAAGTAAAATAACTTATTACCCTGTGGTGTATTGTGTAGTATACGGGTTCGTTTTTGAAGAACTTGAGAAGAAGAAAAAGAAGAATAAGCTTTCGAACTCATTGTGGCGCCACATTTATTCGTTGCACTTGGAAAACATTTATAAGTTGAGAATGAATCAGAATTTATTAGTAACTAGGTTCTAGTTAGGATATTAAAACAACATCAGATTCTCCATTATCATCGTATTACTATCAGTTGCTTCAACCCAGATCATTGCTCTCGATACGGCACCCGTCGTTACACTTATGTGAAAATAATTTGAATATTTGACGGTGCATCCTGTCAGATAACCTGATCTAGAATGGAATTCAAGCTTGAACTTTTTTTTCAACCAAACAAACACATGTTTGTATTGATTGTGAATAGAAGTTTACTCAGACAGTGCTAATTTCATTTTCTCATGTGTCAATATTATCTGTTTACGTCACAAGCCTTGAATTTCGAAAAGTCATGGTTAACCCGTATAGTACTATACAATATTATAAACTAGAGTGTACCTCCTACGACCAGGCAAACATACCATTCTCTGTACGTATTCAACCACTGTTTGTATAAAGTGCAAAAGAAACTACACATACATGGAATAACTTCTTTTGAAACTTCAGCATGAAAAATAAACATAGAAATAAAATAGTATTTTTATGGGCTGCATTTTTGCCTTTAATTAGAGTGTCTTTCCAACATAAGGTGTTTCACGTGTTTAAATAAGCGATCAAGTATCTAGGGTTTGTGTTGGCATAACAAACAAGAATAAGACATCCCCAATCTCGCTGCGCTAGATTTTGACCGAAGTCTGTACCTGGGGCGCAATGGTACGTCCATAAATGGAAATGTATTCAAGAGAGATTCGACCTTAAGTCCAGGAGGAGGTAATCCTTTTCTCGGTGTTTCAAACTCAAAACACACTATATACAAGGAGGTCCGACAGAAACGCGTTTTTATAAGTTTCATTTGAAAAATTGAGCCGACTTCAAATATATCAGTATGTCAGGAGAGGAGAGAGTGATGGAGAATCGCTGAGTTGGTCCGACACCATTTGTGTGATGTCGTAGTCAAAAATTGTCTGCTTACTTTCATTTTTATTGGCGAATTTATTTTTTAACAAAAAAATAAAGTTATACAGAACCCAATTATCTGTCACTAGAAGAAATATTCGCAGTTTGTAGGGCCTGGTGAGTAGGGTGCATAAACGGAATGTCACAGACAGATCGTCCAACTGAAGTGTTTTTGATCCTACTTGAAAAATTTGAGTCGTTTCTCGCAATACGAAATCTCTTAAGTCACCTTCGGTAAATGGTACTTGGGCCTAATTATATTATGCAGTCTTAAGTAAACAGAGATATTCGCTACATATGCATTTTTGTGTGTATTCTTCGAACAGTACCCCCCGTAGTCAGCGTGATAAAGCAGTATTCGTACGCTGTGTTGTTTTTTTCCTTTTCTTAATTCTATCATTAACATCATTGGGTTTCATATCAATTATGAAGCCTGTTGAAGTGCTGTACAATCCGAAAGTTGGTCTAGGGTCGTTGAAAGACTGAACCTCCTAACCTACCCAAGAGAGATTTCTCTCCGAGCCCACCCGTCGTATTGCGTTAAGGTTTGATCAATATTGACCGACCTGTATTTAGACGTACAAGTATACCATCATAATGATAAGAACTTGTCGTAATGAGAGCACCATTAAATATACAAAA